GAGAGAGAGAGAGAGAGAGAGAGAGAGAGAGAGAGAGAGAGAGAGAGAGCTGTGATTTTTCCACGATGAAATCGATGTCGATAATCACTGATAAATCATCCTGCTTGATAATCGACGTGAATAGAATCTCAAGATACTTCAGAGTTTGAACTTTGTCGCTGCTGATCATCTATTTATAATAAGGCCTTCAAACTGAAAGTTTGCTTAGATTGCGAGGAATTATTTCAAATGTTATCTAAATAATCATTAGATAAAAAGCTTAAATACGTTTTTTGCTATTATAGCATAGTAATTATGTTCTACTTCTCGCGTTCTACGATAAATTATTGCGATCTCTCTCTCTCTCTCTCTCTCTAGAATGTAATAAAAGAAGATACCTAATATAACGATTATTTTCACAAACGAGCGTCAAATCTCATAAAAAAAATATGTATTTCGACGATATAAAATGTCTTGAATATTAGCGAAAAAATCTGAACGATTCTTCACATCGATCTTTGCTGTTAAACCTTGCACTTGAAACGTGATAGAAATACGTTACGAAATTTACTGCTAATCGCATCCATGAAAAAAATAGTCATATATATTAAATTCTAATCTTGAATATTTAGAGCGGGTATATTATTGATGACTTTAAAGACGATTATAAATTATAAATATTGCTAATATTGCATCAGGAAGACTTTGCACCTACTCGATGCTTGATACTTTGTTCCTTCGTATTATCTCAACCGTAGTTTACTGATTTTCGAACAAATAACTAAGAGATATCATCAAGTTTCCTATCCATGCTGATTGTTGTGCAAGAACTCGGAATTTACTTCGTCACTTGAGAAAAGCTTAGAAACTAATAAAGCAAATATTTGTACGATAAAATTAAATAATACGGTTTTATAGTAGATACAGTATTGTATATGTATAGTATTTCCCCCTCAAGATAATCATCTTCTCGTCGTGACGGATTCAAATCTATATTTGCTCCAGATTAATTAATATACATTAGTTTTTATTTCAGGAAATCGATAATTGATGTGAATTAATATACGTAGCTACGGAATGAAGTAAATTCATTATCGACACGTATTTTTTCGATCAAATAAATTTTCGTTTGCCATATTCTTCCATGGTCTGAGACAGCATTCTCGCATATTAAAACCAGTTGACCCTAAAGAAACTATCAACATCGAAAAAACTTTTTTGTCTGGTATCAATCCAATAAAAAAATAGCAAGAATTCTTTCTTAGTTTTATTATATATTTCTTAGTTTTATTATACTAATTTCTTTTATTATATATAAACCAGTTGGACGAGAGATCAACGTGATCCAGAAATTAGCATAATCACGCATATGGAATTTCCTATAAGATATAGTTAGGTTGACAAATTATTAGAAACTTTTTTGACGTTTACTTTAACACTTTTTGTGACGTTTATTTATACACTACAAAGCACGAGCATTGGTTTATATAATTGCGATGACCTAGACAGTGGAAACACGTTTCGTACGAGTAAAGAATTTCGCGTTCATCTTACGATATTTTGTGTCAAATTACATTATCGCCAATCATCATTTCTCGTTCGCGTTTGTCTGACCTAATCAAAGTCCATTGATATCTGTAAGATTAATACGCACATCTTTAGATAGTTTACGAAAACAACTATACGAATAAGTTAAGATTATCGCCAGTTAAATGTGTCACAGCGCTTCGTCGATTCTTTTTTCTCTCCTATGACAACAATTTCGTGATTATCTTATTTCGTCTTAAGCAATTTATTTATTTATTTATTCACCGAGAGTGAATAGTAAAGTCCATCTCCCGTAATGTTAGATACGCCACGTACGTGCGGTTAGATTTTCATTAACTCTCTAGCGCATTGTGGCGATACCAAGAAATAAAGAGTGCGGCGATCCTATGACCGAGTAAATGTGCCAGCGAAATTTCTACGCAACGTTTCCTTGCGACTATCACACCGTTATCACGCTCATTAGTGATTCGTCCAATTGCGGACTTTGCGTTTTTTTTTCTTCTTGTATGTACAAGTGACGTTCCTCTGGTATCTTGCGCGTGGATCATTTTTGAATTCTATCGATAGTTTGCCATGCGAAAATATGATCTTTAAAGATTATCAGATATACTTGCTTGCACGCGAACAGTGCATTTTTTTCTACTGAGATATTTGCTTATTTTATCACCAAGATTTTGCGATCCACACGTTTTCTCACAAAAGTAAAAAACTCTTCTGCGACTTTTAAAAATAAATCGGTTGAGAAAGATAATGTGAGAAAATGTTGATAATCGCGAACATCCAGAGCAATTAACCAGTTAATTAATTCTTTTTTGTTTATCGGTAAATCACGCTTGAGACAAATTATTCATTCTTTTCAAAAACTTCATAAATTCATCATTCTCTGAGGCGTTGCTATATGTAACCATTCGTAATATATTGTAATTTCAATATTATAACGTTTTTTTTATGTAACAACTGATATCTTGTTCATACATCGTTATTTATATTTTATACAGATCAAGGTTCGTTTTTATAAATCGTATAATTAAGTAGTAGATTGTGATATAATTGCACCGATTGTATCTTGTAATAATATAATGAAACTCGAGCGAAATATTATTTCTAAGTTAATTACTGTGTGCACGCTAAAGCAATGTGCCTTCGTTAAAATATATTTTATTCCAAGAATCACTTAGACTTATAGCGTTTTCCACTGAGAAAACTAGTACAATACGGAGTGCATACTGAGTGCAATTGAATGCAGATCAGTTTACATATTTTCAGTGTTAGTAAATAATTTAACCATTTTAATCAGATATTCTTTGTTATCACGATAATCTTATAACGTTAAAAAAATTAAATTATTTGTTAACATTGAAAATATGTAAATTGATTTGCATTCAATTGCACTTAGTGTGCACCAGTGTGCACTAGTTTTCCCAACGGAAAACGTTACTAGAATAAAACTGCTCTTATAAAAATATGAAAATATCTTTCTAAATTTCTAA